CCCGTCGAATAAATCAATTTTTTTTCTTCGCCCACAGCCACGATGCGCTTTTCCAACATCCTCGAAGACTAACAAGACTATAAGACTGTTCTTGCGTGTCTCCGGATCGAATAGATCACGCGTTTACGTGTCTTTCGTTTCTCGTGCCGCCGTTTTCGCGCAGGGCAAATCAATTTTATCAACTGTCGCATCAAATTGCGGACAGATATCACGTCCGTCAATTTTTTCTGCTACATCAGCCGACACGTATTTCGTTCTCACTTTGATCGGTCTCCTGTGAGCGAAACGTGTAACCCCATTTATGTGTCCGCTTTCAATTCCCCGTCAAAGACTCTGGTTTCATCGCGTGTCTCAATTTCAACCCGCCCCAATGTCAACCGCGACCTTGGATCGCGTCATTGTTTAACCCCCCCGTGGATATGTTTGCAAATCGCGATGCTCTTCTCGTTTTATCTTTGCCGGCGCGTTTTATTTTTCTCTTTTCTTCTTTTTCTTTTTTCATCGATTCGAGCACGCTTAGATTCCGCAAACCGTTTTCCCCTTCGAGGTGGAAAACAAAACGAAATGCGGGAGGAAGGAGGAAGAGATCGAAGCGTTTATTCAATCGATAGGAAGGGAACAATCTGTCGTTCGGATACATCAGCGAAACGGTGTATCTGTTGCTTCGTCAAACGAATTAATTTGCCGAGTAATTTTCAATACACGCGCGAAAGCATCGATTCAATTTCACTCTTGCTCTTGTTGTTCTCTCTCTCCCTTTCTGCACCGTGTTTCGTTTCCGTGTTTTCCAGTTTCCGTCGATTATCTCAGATAATCAAGAAACATATTTGCGTCAGCCTCGTACCTTTATCAATCGGCGGCTGACGATTTCTCGTGACCAGCGGACCAGAACTCCGTGCGTCGAGAACTGTCACGGTCTAACTAGCCACCGATAAGAGTTCGGATAACAAATCCAGCGAGTTCGATCCAATCTCCCGGAGAGATCGCGAGATGCCATCGAGTTAATTGAAAAATTCAACGTGCCACGATAGACCTTTAACCTTTTAACGAGACTTTAATCGTACTAAAGACGATTATTCGTTAAATTACTAGCACTTTTACGAGCACGATTCATAGAAGCAGAAAAATTTCATTTTTTTTTTTTTGCACAGTTGGTACTGCAAAACTCACTGGATGAACTTTAAATATCAAGGTTCGTCGATTGATTCGCCGATATCAACACGTTTCGATATAAAATGAAATTGTTTACAAGCTGCAAGTATTTTTATGTAGAACCTGATAGACATTCTGTAAGAAGCATCCACGTATTGTGTAAAAAGTACTTGATTGATTAAACATTTTGTATAATTGTGGGATGAGGAAACCTGCCTATCCTATTCGTCGTCTACTACGTATCCGAGACAATTGTCGCAGCGAAGGCTAATCCTGGGAATGTTTGTTTCAGTTGTCCAAGTTTTAATAGGAGAGTATGGTTTATTTGTGTGTGTAAGTGTGCAAAGGACGAAGATTTCGAGGACACATATCGTGAAGGAATCATAGAGAAAGTAGCGAGACGTCAGAGATGGAAAGAGCAGCGAATTGTCAAAGCGTGAGAGTCTAATGAGAGATTAATATCTTTTGTCATCGCCGTATGGGGACTTTTCAGTATCTGTTAATTCCCAAATTAATAAACTTTATTTACAGTTATTTTAAACTAGTAGGTTAAAAAATCTAGTAGGTTAAAAAATTTGTGAGAGCGTGACAGTCTAGTGAGAGATTAATATCTTTTGTCATCGCCGTATGGGGACTTTTCAGTATCTGTTAATTCCTAAATTAATAAACTTTATTTATATTTATTTCAAACTAGCAGATTAAAAAAATTTGTATTATTTTTACAGACCTAATCTCAGACATCACATTATATGCATTTCTAGTCATTCGCAAAGCAGTGGGAAGACAAAAAAATTTAATAAACCCGACTTTTAATAGGCGATCTGCAGATTTTTTCTCGAACAGCTCAGATTATGCCTGCTCGTGCCCCCGCCCCACTTCTCTAGAAAAAAGTACGATATAAACCGGGGGAGGGGGGGGGGGAAGCGTTCATTTTGCCCCTCCATTCCGGGCCCGGTAAATTCGTTTCGGCGAACGTAATATCGCGAGAGGACCTCGAACGAGAATTATTTTTAGCCAGACCACGGGTACGCGGGTTATTGGCTCTTTGTGCGCAGGCCGGGCTTAAGGGGACCGAACAACCGATGACCGATAAAAGTAGCTTCGTAACTGGCAAGTTCGATTCAATTTCACCAAGTTTCGGCCGCCGTGTGGCGGCGTAGCGCAGCCAAGTGTTGTCATCAAACTCGCATCCACTTTGCTGGCTCGAGAGGACAAGTGGTTTTGCAACGGGCCGCGAAAATCCACTCCCGTTGCCGGGATGCTTTCAGCTTCCTTCGATGGGGAGGGTTCGATGCATTATTCCATCGAATAAGACGGATGGGGAATAGTATTCCAATTAGGAGCCGTCTAACGCAGAACACAGGCCTTCGATCGAACCGCCATAATGGGCCACCGAGTTTGTCACGTGAATTACGTCAAGCTCGTCGTGCTCGTCGAAAGCATCAAAATTTCGACCTTGGCCGTTACGACGAAAATGATCAAAGTGCTAGTGTTATCCCGCAACGCGTCGATCGATCATCTGAACAGCTTTCGTTCTGTTCGAAAGATCGCGAGGTGATAACTTTGAGCGCGCATTGTAGCGTATTTTAAACATCTTTTATTCTCGTAATGGATACTCGCAGTTCCAACGAAAGTTTTATTTTCTAGCCAGAAGGGGAATTAATTAACGAACAAAATAAATAAATCAGTGTCCGAAACACGAACGCGCGGCCCGCTCGGAATTTTCACAATTTTCACTCGTCGAAACTCGTTGTACAACAAGTGCGTTATTGTTACGTGAAAGACTGCCAGACGCATCGCATTGCAAATTGTTTTGTGTAACAATTTATATAAAAGCTTCAGCCTCTCTGCCGAAATTACTTTCTCGCCGTCGGAACGCTAAAAGAAGAAGAAGAACCAAGAGAGGAGGGGGAGAGTATCGTAATCGCCGAACGTTAGCCAAATAGCGCGACGATAAAGGTATATTATCCTCGGATTAAAAGTGCGGCAGACGGCCGAATGTTCGACAATTTTTACTCGAGAAATCCGGAATGGACGGATAGTCCATTTTTCTCGGAGAGACTGCCGTCGAAATTGGTTCGAGTGAGTCACGATACGATTTATTAACGATCCGTGGAGGTTCGAGGAGCAGAAGGAAAAGCGAAACGGGAGACGTGGCACAGTTCGATCGGTGGCAGCCGAGGGAAAGAAGGATGACCGAACCGGAAGGAAGCTCGACACTCCCGCGGAGTCCAGCTGAGTGAGGCGAAGCTCGCTTGCACGCGTAAATCTCGCCCTCGACTGGAGGATCGACAAAAATTTTGTTTACAGCCGGACTTGTTGCACGGAGAATCCAGATTTATAGATCGTCGCGCGGGAGGGAAGGGAGGTCTCTTCTGAGGTGCGACGAATCTCGAAGAGGAGTCGACAAAATTAAAAGTTACTCGTCGACGAAAGATACAAAAGAGCATCACGGTAAGAATCACGGCCAGTCTGACCGAAGAAAGCCCCGTGCTGTTAATACAGGACGTCCTTAAATTCTCGTCGAGAGGCGAAAGAAGAGGAAAACGTGCGCTCGCGGCGCGCTTAACGACTCTTTCAGGGTCTAAATCTTGATAAACAGCCGCAAAGATTGTTAACGTCTCGCCATTATTTAGAGGAAAGGCCGAATTCTCGCGAGTCTGGAAGACTCGGAGGAAAGGAAAGAATCAGATGAGAGAGAGAGAGAGAGAGAGAGAGAGAGAGAGAGAGAAAGAGGTGGAAAAAGAAAAAGGGGAAAAGAAAGGAAAAAGGCAGAAAGGAAGAAAAGAGGTTGGACGCCGGCCAGACTGTCGGGGGTTTTCAGGACTGAATGGTCGATCGCCAAAAAGCCGGATCGTTTATAGGGCTAGGCCGTGAGCGTGGCGAACGTTTTGTCGCCGTTTGATGATTGAAATGCACGAGCCGACTAGATTGTCGCCAGTTGAAATAAACCTGCGCGTTGTATCCCTGTTTTTCGTCGATTCGAGCGAGGAACGCGAGCATCATTTCGCGGAAACGTTCCCTTCGTTTCCCGCAGCCGAGGTTTAATATGCGAGCTTGCGAAAATTTATCAAACGACTCTGTGTCCCTGCGTCGCGGAACCGTCTGCAAATCGTGCCAAGAGAGACGTACGCGCGTGAAAAACGAGGAATATTACCACTGGTAGAGTACCCAGCCGACAGACATATTTACTCGTGGTCGCAATCGCGGCTCCTGAGCCACTCACTTCTGCCAACGTAGTAGCTACTTTCGCGATATCGTCATCGCCAGCGTCATTGTCCACCAACGCAAAAAAATAGACGGCGGCTTCGTCACTTTCCAAGTCAAGTCATTACGACAGCATACTCGGCAGTATGTACGTCGAGTATCGTGCGTCGTTTGTTCGGCGGATATAGAGCGAACCGGGGTAAAATCGCGTTCGACCGACTGTCCGACAGAAACGGAATTCGATATACCACTATTCATACAGAAACTGGCTCAATGGGGACGGGGGAGCGTGTTCGTTAAATGTGCACAAGAGCACGAACGACAAAAATGAAAAGCCCGACGTTTCGCGGAAAAATCGATTCGATCGTAATAAACCGTGTTAGAAGTATCCGCTGTTTTCGATATTCAAAGGCGATGCCTTATTAAAATGCATGCATTTATCGAGAAACGCAGCGCGCGATTTAATGGGGAAAGACTCTCCTTGACCTGAAACTGTTAATTACAGTCGCCGACGACTTGTCCCCGTTCGATCACGGAGGGAACCGCTTTCGCTCCGCGTGAAATGTCGCGATGTACGGGAAATATTACACCGTTATCGTCACCAAGAACCGAATAAACACACACAGACAGCGATTACTTACCGAGAAAAACGTTCTCGTCGATATCGTCGGCATGCAGGTCGAGGTCAAGGTCGACCGCCCCGTTGGTCGGAGCCTGATAGCTCCTCTTCGCGAGGTCCATCGGCTCGCTTCGATGATCCAAGTGGCCCGTGGCCAGAAGTTCGGCCAACAGGGTCAGATAAGACGAGTTGAGAGAAGTCGGGCTGGTAGCACGTAGACAGCCGGGCAACCAGAATCCTAAGAGACCGTAGGGAATCACCGGTACCGCTCCGGTACTGACGAAGCCACCGTTCAGGAGTTCGCCGCACAACATAGGTGCAGCGATGACCTCAGCTCCTCCCTCGTGACCTTGCCAACGCCTCGACGTCGACTATCTGCGTCAACAGATGATTCAGATTCAGTTAAGCAGAGCCGCGGGATCGCTTTAAATTAAGCCGCGAAACTTCAATTTTGTCCTTTCAACGATATCTTTTTTCGTCTATATTCTCCTTTTGATTGAAAAATAGTTATATATATATATATAAAATAAATAAATAAATAAATTTATATATATACATTTATTTATTTTTATATATATAAAATATTATATATATAAAAATTATATTATATAATATTTTATATATATAATTATAATTACTATTTTTCGAAAAATTGTAATTTATATGTAATATATATATATATATAGCTATTTTTTTATTATTTTTAATAGTAATAATATATATATATATTATTACTATTATATTTTAGTAATTAATATATATATATTATTATGTAATTATATATTTTAGTAATTTATATATATATTATTACTATTATATTTTTCGAAAAATAGTAATTTATATGTAATATATATATATATATATTTATATATTTTTCTTATATATATATATATATTTTATATATATATATATATAAGAAAAAAAAATAATACTATTATATATATAAAAACGCGAAACAAGAACCGTGTTAAATTGTTTTCAGCGTGCCGGGTAATTCAAGGCCGTTACTCGTTTAGGATTCGCCATGAATAATATCCCATGACGAAAGGCGTTACGCGCCGTTGAGAGCAAAACTTCGAGACCATCTGCATGACAAAAGAACGCAGGCACAACAGGCTGGACACGCCGCGACCAGAGTACAATACGACTCTGCACAATTATCGCGAATTTTCCGTAAACGAATGCCACGCGCATAGAAGACACCCCCTCGCGCATGTTCACGCGCTATCTGACCGTGAGTGTGCGTGACGCGAGTACATATGGACCTCGATAAGATAATACGAACCGTCTACGATAACACTCGGCAATAATATTTGGAGGTGGAGCTGTCAGGTTCGATTCTCACTGGACCGTTCACTCGTAAAAGACCGGTCACCTCGATTCACGGTCTCGCACTTCACGATCCTGCCTGTCGTTCTAGAGTTTTCGTTACGGAGGAACGTTACCAACACGCCGAGAGCGCTTGACAATTCTTCTCTCGTCGACACGTGGCTCGATCGTAAAGTTTTCATTGGGCGAAACAGCTGGAGATCGAACCCACCTAACCGAGGCCGATCCTTCTCGTTTCTCGTTGACTTTCCGTGGAAAATTTCGCGGGAGACGAGAGGAGAGAGGGGAAATTCACTTTCGCGCGAGAACGAGAGGAACGGAGAGCGATCTGACAGAGAGAGAGAGAGAGAGAGAGAGAGAGAGAGAGAGAGAGAGAGAGAGAGAGAGAGGCCAACTGGCGGTCAAATGGACTGTGACGGAGAGAGAACAAGAAGCGACGGAGACATTCTTCTGGGTCCGGCCATTCGCGCGATGACGTCACTGGAGAATTGTACGTGGGTGTGGACACGTCGGATGATCTCACGTTCGCGGCCTGGTAGCCATAATTTCCAGCGATCTCGCCGCTCGTTCGTTTAACACTAAACCTATCGATACTCGTTCCTATCGTGAGCAGTTTCTAGTGAGTTTATGAGAAAAATGCTGGACGCCATTTTTTGTTCCACGGATACGATATATCTACATTTTCAGCCCGTCACGGTTTTATTTCACAGTTTTATATCATAGTAGACAAGACACGGTGACAAAGATCGAGGCATATTGGAACCGGAAGAAATAAACACATTGGGTCATTTATATGTATATATACACACACACAATATTGTAATAGGTTTAAGGTCTTTATTTTAGATGTAGCTCGTTTAGTTACACCTGATGGCCTGAAAGAGGAGTCGATTTGATTTGTGAGAAAGCGTCGATTGAGTTGTAAAAAAAGTTTATTTCATTGGTGACCGAGTATAATAGTTGTCACTTTGTGTTCATTATCTTGTTCAATCACCAGAATTAAATTATTAAATAAATATTACTTTATATTTAATCTCTACAATATAAATATAAAAATATATAATATCTAATATATAATTATTATGTTTTCGGTTAAAGTCGTGCCACACATGCATTTCACTTTTCATTCGCAACGACTTTATAGTTTCGGAATTGAATCTTCGAAAGAATACTATTGCAAATAAAATATAAATCGTTCAACCGGTCAAACGATCAGTCATCATAAGTAAGACAGGCTACACATTTTTCTCAGAAAGCAAGCAACAAGAAAAGAAGTGAGTATTGAAAAATTCATTGTACGTGTGCCACGACAAAAGTCGTGAGATTAAATTGAGGCGGCGCAACAACGTTCGTATGTAAGAAATTCTAAACGAAATTTTAAAAACGATCAGTCGACCGATCGTGGTAGGTTTAGTGTTAATCGATTCGTATCGTCGGCCGTGCCGAGAAAAAGAAAGAAAGTAACCGGGAAAATCCAGTCGTAATGCACGCGTTCGTTTCCAAATCGAAGAGCTCGAAGAAGTCGAGCGTCGATGTACGCAAATACGTGGGGCGTAAAAGCCGATGTGGATAACATCGCGTGTGCACGATCGGTAAGCTGATCGTTGAAACAGGTCGACTCGCACAATGGTTGTGGGCACAATGGCATCGAGAAAGGTAACGTGGCCTTTTCTGAAAAACGAACGGCATGTCTGACGGCCCTTGGCACGCGCATTTCTTTCTTTCCGCGGATTAACCGGAGTGAACCGTGAAAGGATCAGACGCGCGAGAAATACCCAGGGAAATGATCTCCCGTTAATTCGGATCGTCTGCGTGCGAGGGGTATATCTGCGACATACATATTTCATGGGAATTCGGATTACACCGCGAGAGAAATCGTAGCTGGTAGAGTTCGAGTTCCAGAAATTCCTGATCGGAATTTCGAGCGGATGTAGCGTGCATTGGCGTAACGCCGCGGGGTTTACGCCGCGGATCGATTACCAATTTTCATTCTCGGGACGTATAAACGCGCGGACTATACTTTCCGGTTAGCTCGTTTCCTCTCGTTTCGCGCGTCGTGAATCCGACGTTACGCGAACGAGCGCGTGACCGTGGAGAAAACGGAAGGAACGATGGTCCGTTGTTGCACCGTATCGTTGCTTTGGGAATTACAAGATGCAGAAACGTGCAATGCAATTTGCGCAACCGTTCGACCGGAATACACACAGAGAGAGAGAGAGAGAGAGAGAGAGAGAGAGACAGAGAGAGAGCAGAAGAGCGTGCAAGCATTGTTTCACGGTCATTTTTCGTTAATTCCGCGTCAGTTTCTGAAAGAATTATACTTCGTTCGAACACGAGGGAAATATCGGTTCGCTCTACTGAGACAGAGATGAGGATAGAAATGGAAAGAGAGAGCATTAGCAAAGTGATTTAATTTTCCAGAAACACGTGCGCATCGCTACGCTACTGCAAGACGGTGAATTCCGGGCAAGGAAGAACGACCTTTTACGATGCACTATTTTCGCGAAAAAGCATACTGTGCATAGCGCACACGCGAACGGAATATTCTATCGGAGATAACGTTACAAAATCTTGAACAGTGGCGTGACTCGATCCGTGAATTTATTCTGAAAAAGAGAGAAGCTCGAGAGGGATACGTGTGCATATTACATACGTACGTACATACGTATAACGTTCGCTCGGCAATCGAGTCGATATACAGAGTGACGCATCGTACGATATAAATTCGTTTAATGATGTCGTTATTAAAGATTAATGAACCGCGCAGCTTATTTCCTGTATTTAAAATTAAAACGATATTCCAATTTATTATGCAGATACTTCGCGATACGTTGAATTTAATAGATATATAAAATGCATATATTGTATATAAGCAACCGAAAGTGCAGCCGCGCGCGCAGACGAATTTTAATTTCTTTTTTTATTTTATTTCTTTTTTTTTTTTTGCGATCGACGTTCTAATTTGCGTTACGTTCGTTAATGTCCGCGGAACGGACGTGCCTGTTCATAATGTTTCATTGCCATGGTAGCCGCAACTTTCCATCCACCTATATTAAATTTCGTTTCGACTCCGGTCCGAGTAACGAGGCGACAATTTCAAATTGATCGGCGGCAACGCGCGATATAGGTGCAAATATTAACAATACATTTTCCCCATGTCAACATGGCGCGATGTTTGCCCGCGAGTCTCGCCAAGACATCACAATAACGAGCAACACACGTTTTCCCCTGTCTTTCAAAAAGAATAATGACGCAGCGAATAACAAATAGCGAATCGATTCTTTCCAACTCTTTTTCTCCCTCCTCTCTCTCTCTTTTTTTTTTTTTTTTAATCGAACGACAAAACACGGCGCATAAAAGGGGAATGGCAAAACAATCGCGGCCAGCGACCGAGAGGTGCAAAATTGATAAACGCGCGCGCCCCTTGCCGAGCATTGGATTCGACGTTGAAACGGGGTTGAAACTTACGAAACTTCGTTAGCTCCTTCAGTTCGTTTTTCCTCGCGATTGCACGCGATTCGGATAACGTTCATGATCGTAGAATTACACTGTTACCGGTATGAATGAATCATGACCAGCTAGGAATACCGCGATACCGATACTGAGAAGTTTCCCGCAGATAACAGCGGGAAAGCAGGAGGGGGCGGAGGGGTTGAAGGAAGCCATCGACCAGGAGCGGCAGACGAACGGGCGCCATGACCACCCCACTCCATCGTTTCCTCTGCTCCCTTTATTCAACGGCTTATCCAAAACTGGAACAACCCCCTCGGTCGCTCGGCTCTACGAGCCACGTACAAACGTGGTATGTACGAGCGTTGGGCACGAGATATTCGTTCCACCTTCGTGGCCATTCATAAAACAACCTTAAACGCCGCTCCTAAACCGCTAAATACGCCGTGATTTATAACGTTTATGGTGTGCACTGCCGTTCAGCGGACGATTTCACGGATCGTTAAGCCGGCACGAGGCGGCTAAGAAGACGGATAATATTCATTGATTCAGCTGTCGGCTCGCGATTGTCCCTCACGTGCAACTTTCGTTCGCGT